TATGCTTTACTATCGTTTCCCGTTTGATAGTTTTTATTTGTACGGTTATTTGTTTGTTGATTATCGACAATATGATTGGTGCATTATAAGCCAATACATTTTTTGTTATTAGTAATTCTTCGTCCCTTTTTTGTAAAATATATTTATTTATATCGCGTTTAGTTGATCAATTATTCGTATAATTTTGGTGCATTATTACTCCGTTCTTTTTAAAATATTATCTATTTGTCTTGCACTTAATTCCTTTATTATTCGTAATATGATTGGTGTAATATTTAATATTACATATTATGGTTTCAATAATGTTGTTCCTTGTAATGCCGTTAGTTATCTTTTATCAAAATATTATTTATTATAATAAATATTTTTCAGAGACGGCGACCTTGTTCTTATTGACGGAGGAGGAGAGCTTTACGACTATTCGTCCGATATCACCCGAACAGTCCCCGTGAACGGCACCTTTTCGCCCTCCCAAAAAGCTGTTTATGACGCCGTATTGACTGTAAATCAAGCAATAATCGACCAATGCAGGTATATTCGCGAAAACCTTTTTCCTCCTCCCATGGGTTTTACAATTTTTTTTATAAACGACCGCCTTTATACTGCGAAGCAACCCTACTACTTTACATAATTTACTATTATTATTACAATTATTATTGTTATTATTAGTATAGATTTTTTGTGATAGGCCAAGCACCGGACTGTCATTATCCGATCTCCACGCTTTATCTCTCGAATATTTTACTGAACACCTGAAAGTGCTGGGAATTCTCTCTAAAACTGTCGAAGGAAACTCAGCTCACCACGTTTTGTTGTTTACGTAACAATAAAAATAACTCTATAATTTTTTTTTACAGATCGTTCAAAAATATTTTCCTCATGCGATTGGCCATTTTTTGGGTGCTAATTTTATATTGCAACCATTGGTACTTTACTAATGATAATTATATGAAGGCATGGACGTGCATGATACTCCGGACCTTTCGCTTTCTACTAAGCTTGCAGTATTATCATTTCTATCGTTATTATTGTTATTATTTCTATAATGATTAACAGGAAGGAATGATTATTACGGTGGAACCTGGTCTCTATTTTCCTTTGCACGACACCACCATTCCAAGCAGGCAATAAGATTAGCTATTATAATAATTCTTTGTGTAAAAGTTTTTTTTTAAATTTTATTACTATGCATTTTATGACTTTAAAAAAAAATTTTACTAAAAAAAAAAACTATAAAATGCAAAATTAAAGCTTCTAAACTTTTGAAAAAGCTTTAACCAATCACTTAAAAACTAAATGGAATTTGATTGGTTGTAATATTTTTTATTAAAAATAACACATTTTTATTGGATACTAAAGTGGTTTATCGCTATTCTTGAAGAGCACTGGCTACATTGAAAAATGAAAAATTTTCAAACTTTTTATATTAGTGAAAATATATTCCTATTTACTTTGTAGGACTTATTTTTATTAGAGCCTTTCGTTTCTTTGCAATTTTGTATACTAAATTCACCAAAATTTTTAATAACAAAATGCTTATAATTTTTTTTAACTTTTAGTTAAAATCTAAATCACTTTAAGTTATTATTTAAGATTTTAATTTTTTTGCCACATTTGTAAGTTCTAATAAAATTTATTCATTACTTTTTTTAATTATTTTCGTTGATTTTAAAGTATAAATAAAATTTTATAATTTTTAAAATTTTAACTAACCCTAAAAGTTGTGAACAATTTTTTTAATGTTAAATCATATTAAAGGTATAAATAATTTATTTTTTTACATTTTTAAAATTAAATTATTATGCTTTTTTTATATAAAAGTTTATGTTAATACGTTATGAGTTACCTTGCTTAAGATTTCAAGGCATTGGCGTTCGAGTGGAGGACAATGTCTTGATCACGAGGGACAAGCCTTTGGTGCTCACTGAAACCTGTCCGAAAACAGTCGAGGCTATTGAAATATTAATGCAACGGTGAAACCTTTTCAAAATCTTTAATAAAATCTTTAATTTTTAAGAAAAAACATGAATATCTTGATATTAACTAATATATGAACTTTTTACTATAAAAAAAAAAAGAAAAAATTTAAAAAATTAAAAGAATTTCAAATATAAAAAATTTCAAAAAAATCTTAAAGTTAATGTTAATAAATTAATTTCAAAAAACCAACTTATAGCAAACAAAATCTTTTTCAGATTATTAAAAGTAGCCAAGTCTGTAGTCAATTGGATTGTACTAATATTTATTTTAGTTTGCAAATTAATCCGCAATTCAAACTTACTTAATAATCTTCTCAATTTCTTTTATATCTAAAAAAAACAAATCTTGCTTACTACAAAAAATTTTGGTGGCAGACAGAAGGGGCCATCTTGCTCACAGCTAAATAAAGAATCTAAAGTATATATAATTATTGTTGAATAACACTTTTATAGATAGGAATGAATAAAAACCAAAATAGATGTGTTTTGTTTTGCTGCAAATATAAGATCTAATAAACTCAACTAAAAGCTTTGCCAATAAAAATTTTTTAGTTAATATTGAGCCTTTAAAATCGAATACATAAGTAAAGCAGCTATTTTTATATTAGCAAGTTTTACAAAAGGTAGATAGTATAAGGATACAAAATTTTATATACAAAAAAAATTAGTTAAGGCATATAATAATGCTTTACTGGGCCAGCCTATACAAACATTCTCTCCATAAGAAAAATGTACAAATAGAATTAATATAATAATAACTAAGAGGATTTAAATATCGAAGTAAGTTTTGACACTGGATTCGGTAAGTATAACACGAGTAAAAGAAATGCAAAAGAGCAATTCTTCATGCCGCAGAGCAAAGCTGCGACGAAGAGGAGGAGGCGTTGACGTGGTTACTGCACGTGATATTTTTGAAGTTTAACAAGCGCATGTGGTCACTTTGCTAACAAGATTCACGACTTGCGTTTTTCAAACCAACACTGGTTGGAAAGTTCTAGCATTTTTTTGTCCACATCGGGTGTTTTCGATACCTCAATAGAACGGCAGGCAGTGAAAGAGCGTGAGAAATTCACACTCCAGCTTATTTTCGCAAGTTTATACAAGAGCTAATTGTTACAGTCCTCAAGATTTGTACATGTTGTAAGAGAGAAACTTATAAAAACGAAGGGATGTGCCATTTAAAATCTGGTATAGAAATCAATTATTCACATGTTACTTTGGGTATTTGTGTTTATTCGCTAACCCTGTCTTCCGCCCGCGTTCTTGTCAAACAATTTCAATCAGTCGCCTACAAAGCTCCTTAGAGTCAGCTGTCTTGCATAGAAAAAAAGGCTGAAGTAAAGTCATCTCTAATAAAAAAAACCACCTTATTCGCTCTTACTTTTTTTTTTTCTTGTTCGTCAGTTTTAGAGAAAACTCTTTAATCTTATAAATTTTTGAAAAGGTTTTTAAGTACTCGTCAACAATCATCTGAACAACCCCACACCTAGACGCAGATTTAACAGCTATAACCCTTTTAAAAGTGTGCTTACATCTTAATTAAGTTTTTTATTATAATAAACGAGGGCGTTCAAGGTGTTTAGTTCTTCCGCTCTCTCTACTTTGATACTTTCGATAGTTTCTTAAGGAAGAATTGGAAATTCACTCAATTTTGGAAAGGGTGTAGAATGGGGTGAAGTTGCATAAGCAAAAAGTACAGGTTAAAGCCCCCTATAACCAAAATTCTCTTAGAATAACTTCATAAATGACCGAAAAAAACAGAGAATTCTACTAAATGATGAAAGCTTGCCAGAGACGTTTTCAAACTTAATATTGACATCTTATAAAGGGGATCTGTCTCCCAACAAAAGTAGCTTTTTCGTATCCTTTTTTTAATTACTACGAAACATCATTGGCCTTCCAGGCGACAAATAGTAAACTCAACCGCTAACGGCTGGTCTTATTAATTCTTCCAAAGTTACAAAGGCGGCCTTTAAATTACATTGCTCTCGATATCGAAGGCAGTTTCCCAGCAAGCGGAAGCCATTATAATCTTCTAAAAGTAAGGCTTACGAATAACGAGGATAAAAAAAACTATTTTAAAAGGCTTGAAGAATTTATAATTTTGCTGTAACAAATAATTTTATAAATCGCAAACCCTCTATAGTTTAGCTTATATTTTTTATTGATGAGATAATCTTATTGCAATTGGCGGTCCGATCACAAAAAAAATTTGTGTACATCTAATACCAGTATTTTTAAGAAAGGTTTCATTAAGAAAAAAAGATTCACCCCCTTTACCAAATAACTCTACAGAAGCATCCATCTTTAATTCTATAATATGCTTGAGAGCAACGCACTGGTTTACAATCCTCAAAACTTAATTTTGTCCTTATACAGATACTCTTTGTTACTGAACCTTTGAAGATAAAAGAAGCCGTTAATGTCCTTGCCTCTTAACATTTGATCAGAGCGACGTAACACTACTGATATATTCTGCCCCTTATTTCGTCAATTTCATAGTTGATTTGTTAATAGAGGTCAGATTCTTATAAGGGTCACCTTCATTTACCTTAAACCTAAATTCGCAATGGGCTTGAAAAAAGAATGAATAATCTTCGTAACTAAACTTACAGACTTTGCTGAAAACAATAAATATATTAATAGGACCGAGCTCAGGTGTACGTCGTCGTAAGTAAGTAAGCGCAAAGACTTTAATCTTATTAAATTTTTCATTAAGAAGGATTGTATCAGTTTCATTACTTATTTTCATTTTTTATAGATATTTAAAAGTATAATATTATCTAAATTAAAGATATCAAAGATCCCCATTAGCCCATCATTGTTAAGTAAGTAATCATACGTGTCACTATAAGAGCCCTATCTAAAATGAGTACAGCTCTCTTGGTTTTCTCCTTCACGTTTATTATTTACCTCTCCAAGAGACTTATGTGTATTAACCTTCCTCAAGTGCTTGAAATGTACAGTATGCGTAGTAAAAGCATAAGCTAAGAGTGAAAATTGGATAAAAATCTAGTCTACACGGGAAAGGCTTCCAAATTATTGGCCAAATCCTACTCTTTTGTTTATTAAATTTATGAAAATTCAATGATCTACTTTTACAGAATACATATCTAAAATACCTAACTTTTTTCTATAAACGAAACATAGGTTTAGATTTGAGGAAAAAAGTGCTTCAAAGACCGTCAGATGCTTTCCATAATAATTTTGGTAGGAAGTTTCAACTGCATTATTAATTCATTGTTAATGGCATTCCTAACTTTTATAAAAAGTCGCAGCTTCCTTAGAATACGCCTCCTATGAAGCTGAAACTTCAAACACACCTCACTTACTACATTTTCAGGTAATATATTTTGTCAAATTTTTGATAAACAAATATAATCTTTTAAACAGAATTTATATTATGTAAAGAAATTTTCGATAAAACTTTAAACAACGAAGACAATATTTTATATAGTATAAATATGTAATATAATACTAATTTTTATAACTATTTTTATGTTCTAATTACGCACTAGTATAGATAAATAAGATTACCTACTATTGTGAAGCGACGCAAGCTTGAAAGAAAAAAATGTTAACGCTTCCTACTAGATTAAACTATAACTATATCTGTCTGTTAGGTGGCCCAAAACGCATTTTTATAACCTACTTTCCGTTTGGGATTTCCGTATTCCAAATTGATAAATTTAACGAGGGCTAAGCTAATCACAATAGAATATTTTAATTAAATGCATTTTTTTAATAAATTCATTCAATCGCAATGAAAGCCTAACCCTAACCATAACCATGCCTACAAGGGAAGAATCCAATTTTAGACGCTTAAAAACTCGAATGTTAAGATAATGATTAATTTTACTAATTAGCTTCAACTCGTCTGTAAAGCTCAAATATTTTATATTGTACTAGTATTCAAGAAAAAAAAACCATTTAATTTCTTTTTAAGCAAGTATATTAAAAAGAGGAAAACCACTTTTATATAATTCCCCTTCAATTCTTTGTTGTCCAACATCAATAACCATGATTTCAACTGTTAGAACTTGAATAGGCATATTAACTTCAGTCACTATTTTTATAAATTGAACAAAAAAGATGGAATAAAATCTCCAAATTAACTCCTATAACTTTTCAAAGTGGCTTTTAAAATTAAAAGGGTTTGAAGAATAAAATAACGTAACACAAAAACGCTCAATTATATTTAAAGTTTTATAACTTACAAATTTTATTAGGTTGAAGCTGTTCTTATCTGCAGACATGGTAATAACGCTATACTTTCATTTTGAATAGCGTTTTTTTTAATTACTTAAAAAAGTTAACTCACCTAAGTAGATAAACTTAACATCTACGCCAGCAGAAAATATAAGTATATCAATAAAACTTTTCTCATTTAAAAAAATTTTTGTTAGAAAGTTGCACAATTTTAAAAACTAATGAGTTAGTGGGAGTTGCAGGACTTATAGATATTGCAATCTCTTCTCAACTCTAACAACTTCTAAGCTTAACTCGTTTCAAAGCTGAACAAAAATGCTTTTGTAAACCATCGCAACGATACGTAAACTAAGCTTAACAGCAACTAGGCGAGAAAAAAAAATTCTATTTATTTTGCTACAAGTAATTTTACTTAATTGAAAAGTGACGAAACCCTACCCTAGCTTGAGGCTAAAAACCCCTTTTATCAGAAAAATAGCTTGTGGAGTTAAGTTATTAAGCATTAAATTAAATATAACGTCGGGCCCGAGTCTTTCCATGTATAAAAGGATTGGATAACAATTATAACTACCTCACTGGTGGCAAGCTTAACCTTTTTACGTATGCTAGCTCATGAAAGGTAAGCAATAATTATGGACACGTGCTTGGAATGGTGTCCATTATCGTCGGACTTTATAATAGTTGAGTGGAATTCGAGTGAGTTGGCAACTGCCTCTACTATTTCTGAGGACGTCAGTCGCTGAGCGTCCAGCGTCATGGATAGGCGGAGTTATGCCCCTAATCTCCGTAGGTCGAATGGCTCTCACATTTTCTGGATGTATTCGAGAAATTAACATATTATAAAGAGGAATAATAAATTAGTAAACCATTTTTTATAGCAATTTTTTTTCCCTCTATTTTATCACATAAGCACGAATCTCCCAGCAGCTGGACACTCTACCAAAACAAAACTTAAAATAAATAGTATAGTCACTTGGTAAGCCCCCTACTAGGGGAGCCTCTCAACTTTGACTGTTCTGCTAGTTTACATAAAACTAGCCCTCACGGAACAAGAAATAAATGATATTTTCTTAAAAGATGATCCCAGAGGCGAGGTTGTCATAACTAAGAGCGAGCTACTGAAAATCTTCAGCTACCATTATAAGAATAATAACCAATATCCTTTATAAAAATATCAAATAAGAGTACAACTCTTGACAAAACCTGAACTGGTTGTTTAAACGATGAAGGCCGCGTGTTTGGAAAGAAATCACTACCACATTTAATCCCAAGCTAAAAGAACTATGCAACACCTCTATAAATAAGGAAGAAAGTGTTCAACAGCACGCTAAGAAGCTAGACTATATGGCTCTAAGGATGCAGGAACAGTGCACATAATAAGAGATGGTCTTTCATCACTGCATGGTTGCGTTAATATATAAAATAGGTGGGGAGTACAAACGTGACGCAAGCTCCTTTAAACAACATTGTACTAATAAGCTAGAAAATATACTGTGAAAAAATTATACACTGATGGCAATCACTCCCATTTTAACCCGAGGTTGCTGGAAATGCAATAGAAACAACCTCGCCCAAAAAAGCATACTTAACACTAATCGCTACCGGCGCAATTATAGCATGGACCCCAAAAATGTA